AGTAAGCAGAAAACAAAAGTACAGTATCTTGTGGAGAACAGATAAACAGACAAACCTACCGTGCGCGGTGGAGTACTGGGTAATAAAACACATACAAGCGTTAGTTGGCGTCCTACACTAGCTGCGTATGGGCGTATCGTTTTCTTACGCTCTCAATGAGCGTTGTTGGCTCTCTTGTTCTATTTATACTCTTTGCCTATACCTTCAGTTTGAGTTTTTTTTTTTTTTTTAACCATATTTATAGAGGATGATCATTCCAGGGTATCCTTGAAGGTTGGCTGATATTCAGAGGCCTTGTTTAAATTAATGAAATAATGTGATGCTTTTATCAGCAAAGTTTCTTTAGGAGGCTTAGGGAGTGGTGCTGTTTGTAGTTGTGAGAAAAAGTCCAGCTGACACAGGAATTGATGCCAGCACCATAGGATTAGAAGTCAAGCAACTTAACCACTAAGCTATTCAACTCAACTCCACAGTTGGAACTACAGATTTCGCTGAAGTGAAAAACTCTGATGTGAATAGTTACATTTGACAATCATATCTAAAATACAGATAACTGAAATGATTAATAGTGTTGTTTATAAAATTTGTGGTTGCACAAGATATCACTCTGATATACTATCTATTGAAACAGTGATTCTTGAACTACTAGGTTAATCAGGTACAGAATGAAAGATTACTGTGAAAGATATAAATCAGCCCATGGACACTGGGTGAAATTTATCAAAGTCAAAGACACAGTAAAACACAGTAATCTACTTCTAATCACCAATTTAGCCCTTTTGTTTGATTTGATTACCAGTTGCAACCTGATTTGTTGACCTACCTTCAGTTTGAGTTCTAGGACACCTGTCTGTCCACCGATCTGAACATTGGCCTGGGTATATGCATCGAGTTGACCCTCGACCTCACTAAGGAACTGTTGGAGACTGTTTTCTCTGATTGCTGCTTCGCATTGTTCGGTGAACTGAATCTGATCAGCCAGACATAGTATCTACAAAAACATTTTCAGCTCTTTTAATAATCATAATATTAATAATAATATAAAGGTAAAATACAGTTAGGAAATAACCTGTGGCTTTAACTAGGCTGAAATGCAAACCCCTAATATATTGTATTGGGTAATATATGTTACTTTTTAGTTCAAGAGTTGTGCCTAATTAACTACTGTTGTATAAATAATAATAAAAATTCAAGGTTCATCATTAATTCTGGATATTCAGCAAGTAAATGGCAATGCTAAATGTGACCTGCTACCACGAAAAGGCTGTAAACTCGTACCTAGTCTAAAATTAGATTTTGCTATTATAGAACACATTACAAGATTTAAAATGGTGATTAAACCATTTCAATCGGAAATCTGGAAGCAATTCTACGGCCATTTGAATAATTACTAACTTCCAGAAATAAAAATTTGAAGTTTTGAGAAAAAGGCTATTGAAATTAACCATATTAATGTGAAGGATATTGCAAGTGTATACCAATAATATACCTTAGTAACCAGTACTTCTTGTAGGCCTACCAAAACCAAATTTTGCACAGAAGTTGTGCTAAGGTAGAGGAACAAGTACTGAAGATTTCAAAGACATACCCCCCGGGGGAGGGGAATGACGGCCATTTTAAAATGACGTCATATTATAACTATACAAAAGGGATATTATTGTCTCATGTAGTTTTTTGAACTATAGCTGTCCTCTTTAACCCTAGAATGATATTTACAACCAAGGAATATGAGGAAATACTTGTAGATGTTGAAAATGGGGATAGGGGATGTGACAGTGTGCGACTGGGGGTGGGGTGAGGGTGACAGTGCGTGTTGCAGTTGGGCAGTGGATAAGATGTGACAATTTCAGTAGCAATCAGGAAGATGAACTAACACTTTCATGTCTCAGCATGCCAAATTTCAAAGTCATACCCCGGGGGAGGGGGACATGGAGGTCATTTTGAAATGACGTCGTATTTTAATCAAACAAAAGTAATTATTTACGCATGTGCTTTCTTTAAACTATTGCTGCCTTCTTGGAACCTGGAGTGATTACAACAAATAAATATAAGGAGATAGCTGAGTGTTTA